TCCCCAGATAACGTAGCTCTTTAACTGCTTGGGCCAGGTGGTGACTCTCCTCAAACAATCCAATTCAGAGATTTTAGTCATCTCACTGGAAATGGCAGCAGGCTTCATTGGCTCTTTTTGAGTCACTTTGGCAGCTGGAGGATTTGGTGGGTCTGGAAGAAGAAATGATGGACTTGTAAGAACTGGTTATGCTGGCAATATGATGTCTTCTGGATTGATAGGCAGCACATCATCTGGAGCAAAACCTTGCATCTGGTTAACAAGTGTGAAGTGTCTTACTATCTGAAGTCTTGGCCTTGATGTGGACATTGGAGTCAGAAGCAGACTGGCCAAGTTCACTGATGTTACCAAACTCTGGGGTAAAGCATCCGCACCTGAGGACAGGAGGGTGATCCAGGCTGACCTTGACAGGCTCAGCAAATGGGCGGATGAGAACCTGATGGTGTTTAACACTGAAAAATGCAAGGTTCTTGGGAGGAAAAACCTGCAGCATCTGTATAGGCTCGGCAGTGCTATGCTGGCTAGCACTACAGATGAAAAGGACTTGGGGGTCATGATTGACCACAAGATGAATATGAGACTTCAATGTAAAGCTGCAGCTAGTAAAGTGAGCAAAACGCTGGCTTGCATTCATAGATGCTTCTCTAGCAAATCCCAGGACGTCATTCTCCCATTGTACTCAGCCTTGGTGAGGCCACAGCTGGAGTACTGCGTCCAGTTTTGGGCTCCACAATTCAAAAAGGATGTGGAGAAGCTTGAGAGAGTCCAGAGAAGAGCCACGCACATGATCAGAGGTCAGGAAAACAGACCTTATGACGACAGGCTGAGAGATATGGGACTCTTTAGTCTGGAAAAATTCAGGCTCAGGGGTGATCTGGTAGTCACCTATAAGCTTATCAGGGGTGTTCACCAGGATCTGGGGGAATGATTGTTCACCAGAGCACCCCAAGGGATGACAAGGTTGAACAGTTATAAACTCATGCAAGACCATTTCAGGATGGACATAAGGAAGAATTTCTTCACTGTCCGAGCCCCCAACGTCTGGAACAACCTGCCATCAGACCTGTTCAAGCACCTACATTGAACACCTTCAAGAGAAATTTGGATGCTTATCTTGCTGGGATCCTATGACCCCAGCTGACTTCCTGCCCCTAGGGCAGGGGGCTGGACTCGATGATCTTCTGAGGTCCCTTCCAGCCGTAATGTCTATGAAATCTATGACCTTTTGGACGTACACAGGATTGTTTGATTTGAAAATCCACGCATGTGAAGTCACCTGTTCTATAGAGAATTGGATTTCTTGCTTTGTTTGGTGTTCAGTTATCAGGTCTGGGTGGAGTTGTTCCAAACAAGTCTTTAATTGGCACTTCATCAATAGTTTGGCAAGACTTCAGCCTGTGGCTGTGCATGGAGTTACATGTTGTGGTAGTAAAAATTCAGCTAATCATAGCTTCTGATCATAATCAACAATCCTCTTCAACACATCTTTAGTAGTTTGGACCATCCACTCAGCCTAGCTGTTGGCTGATGGATGGAACAGTGTGGATGTGATACAATAAATAAAGTTTCTCTCCAATGAAATGAAGTAAATGCTCTGGAGTGAAGTGAATTGTGCACCACTGTCAGACTGAAAGGCCATGTAACACAAACAATTTTCATTAAACTTAGATTATAGCACATGATGTCATTGTTGCAACTGGAACAATTTTCAGCCACTTGGAGAAGGAATCAGTGACAATGAAAAATCTAGCCTTGAAATAGGCCAGCAAGATCTATATGCAGACAGGGCCATGGTGTCTGTCACATCTCTGTGGACTCCTGTTGACTGAATACCTACTGGCTTGAACCATTCTCCTCCTAGCAAGCTTGCTTACTGTTCTTTAGCAGTTTTGAGATGAAGAACTCAGTCCTCCCTGTACCAGATATGGGCATAACTTTTCAAGTCAGCTGTTTATTGTAACTGACAAGTTTTGGATCACATGGTACAATAGGCAGATGGTTTTAAGGCCATACCAATTCATGTGTCTTTTCCAAAATTAAGGCAAACTTGGATTCTGAGTCTATCTCCATGACACAAGGAACATCTTTGAGCATCACTGTGGTGTGGATCTTCTTCTGCAGATATGGTGTTTCTTACACTGCTGACAAATCCAGTAGTGTGGACACTATTGGCTGATGGGGCACACCCAGAGAGTAGTAGTGGACGGGTTGTACTCAACCTGGCAAGATGTGAGCAGTGGGGTCCCCCAGGGCTCTGTCCTTGGGCCCGCACTGTTTAACATCTTCATCAGCGACTTGGACGAGGGGGTGGAAAGCATGCTGTCCAAGTTTGCTGATGACACTAAGATGTGGGGTGAGGTGGACACACTCGAAGGGAGAGAGGCTGCAGCTAGATTTAGACAGACTACAAAAGTGGGCAGATGAGAATAGGATGGGGTTCAACGTAGACAAATGCAGGGTGCTGCACCTTGGGAGAAGGAATCCACAGCATACATACAGGCTGGGGAGTTCCCTTCTTGAAAGCACAGAGGCGGAAAGGGATCTTGGAGTCATTATTGTCAGGCCGCAGTTGGAGTACTGCATCCAGTACTGGGCACTGCACTTCAAAAGGGATGTGGCCAGCCTGGAGAGGGTTCAGAGGAGGGACACACGCTTGGTGAGAGGGCTGCAGGACAGGCCCTACGAGGAGAGACTGAAGGACCTGAACCTGTTCAGCCTCAGCAAGAGGAGGCTGAGGGGG